AGCCGTCGGCTCCAACAAAAACGTCAGTTGCCAGCCGTCGGCTCCAACAAAAACGTCAGTTGCCAGCCATCGGCTTCAGCAAAAATCGGCTGACGGCTTACTCCCCTACATACATATACAGGACTTTTCCTTTCATTTTTTTCATCTGCTCGCATTTTCAAACGGTCTCTTCTGATAGTGTTCAGGTGTTTTTTCCCTTATCAGCTGTTGGATTTTTCCTGATCTGTTCAGTATACATGTTGGAGCGTTTTGGAAAATAAAGCAGACGTTTTAGTATCGATCTTGGGTGTGAGTGATGGATTGGAGAAACATACAACCACATCCACTCACCCACCCACACCCTCAATGCAATACAATGGAATTTAAATATTACGTAATAAATAGTACAAAAAGAAAACTTTGTTATCAAGCAGTACTAATTATTCCATCTTCAACTCTAAATATGAAATATTTATAAAATGAATATTCACAAAATAAATCCAATTTAGCTGTAAGCAATTTTTGTAACGTGTTATGACAAAAAAAGAGTCTTGCAGATCCTTATGAATGTGATGGCGATGATGTCAATTGAAAAGGTCTGCTATTCTCTTTCTCGTAAGAGAAGAGTCCAGTAAGAATAAATTGTTTGTTTGCTTGCTTGCTTGTGTGTCCGCAGGGTCAAAAAAAACATTGAAATTTAATTTTTCAGATACTTCCGGAAAACTTTGACTGGGGGGTAATCGAGGGTGGGGAACTTGAATCTGAGATTAGTTTATTAAAATTAACTAGTTAATAATTAGTTAATAATCAGTTAATAATTAGTATTATTATATGTTCGACTAAAGTTTCACCGAAGGGTAATCGAGTATGGAGAATCCGAATCTGAGGTTATTTTCAGTTAACAATCAATTAATAATCAGTTAATAATTGAAATTATTAATTTCGAAAAAAGTTTGACCGAAGGGTAATCGAGTGCCAAGAATTCGAATGCGAGGTTAATTTTAGTTAAAAATCAATTAATAATTAATTAATATTATTAATCTTAAGATAGTTTCAAGAAAGCTTTACCAGAGGATAGTTCGAGAATCGATTTTTTAGAAAATATATTTTTGGGGCATTTCGATGCGGAGACTTCGAATCTGATGTTAGTTTTATAAAATAATTTTATGGATCACTTTTTTAGAGAGAGAACCAATTTTTATAAATAAAAAAATTTCATAAGGGGTGACCGAAAGGTAAGTGGGGTGGAAGAACACATATCTGGTGTTAATTTTTCCAAACTGTATAAGCAAAAAGTTTACTATTGTAGAAAACGATTTCTACGAGAAAGAGCTGAGCGAGCCGGCAGACGAGCGTTACTTGTTTTAATAGTACGTATATTTGACCATCATTATCGGATCAAAAGATGGTTCAATAACAATTTCTAATTAAAGAAAAATGAAAATATTAATAGAAAAATAACACTTATATGATAGTCTAGTAAATTACTCAGAGAATTTTCATATTTTGTAACGCAATAGTTCGATGCATATAAACTCGAACGACATGATTTAGATGATGTTTCAACTATTACACTCATAACAAAAGTCATGACCAAGAAATTTCTCATAATCTAATAGAATCCTCACTTATTTACTCTATGGTTTTTATAAGGGAGTAACAGCGGACTTCAAGACTTCATGAGACTTCATGAATGAAGTCTCTGTTGTATACCCCTTGATCTATATACAATGATTCCATAGGAAGGAGGAGTAACAACCATTAAACGTTTGATAGAAGTATCTAATTCAAAACAAATCGATGGTGTTAAAAAAAGAGATTATCCTATCTCTTATTAGATTTGTAATGACTAATAATTATTTCTATCTTGATAGATCTTATTATAAACAAATAAGAGGAGGAGTGATGGGATTGCCACTTACCCTGGCAATAGCAAATACATACATGTACTTTGTTGAACGTTCAATATCTAAATGGGCTCAAAGAACATGTTCATTATACTATAGATATATTGATGATCTTTTCATTATGTCAAATGTACATACAGATATATTAAAAGGTCTTGTGAAATTCTGGAATAGGCTTGATAGTAATATTGAAATTTCTGAATCTATAGGATCAACTGCAGAGTATCTTGATGTTAAATCTGAGAATATAGGAGGTATATTGATAACTAAAGTGTTTTACAAGCCTCCACATGAACCACATTTTCTGCCTGTCACAAGCATATTCCGTTTGTAGTTCTCAGTCGAGCAATAAGATATTCGTTGAACTTCGATGTATTTAAACGTGAAGCAATACATATATATATATATATATATATATATATGTCCCTATTATTGAACAGTGTAACGCTCATCCGCGGACTCGCGTAACTCTTTCTCGTAGAAATGCATCCTCTTGACATTTACTGGAAAAACAATTAAAAATCGTGCCCTCCTTTATTATTCATTACTCTTAGCACATACTCGCATCCTAGTCACTGGTAAACGTAATCTTATATGCAAGAAAACCCACAGTTTATGGTCGCCACACTCTGCACTACAAACAGAAGAACATTTGAACATCCATAAAAATGTATTACCCGAAAACTCGCTTTCTATCAGTTCGCATCACTTCTCTCAGTCTACACCCCCATTAAGTAGTCTAAGCCCACGAGGAGCACTTTTGAAATTCCCACATAGAAAAATTTCAAGAAATGTCTTTTCCTGAAAATCGGTTTTTGATGTTTTTTTTACCCTACGGACACACAAGCAATCAATCAGACAATTTATGTTTATTAGACTCTTCTCTACGAGAAAGAGAATTAATTCTATGTTTTCTTAATATTATTCTAGACAATAGTTTTTAATATTAATAGAAACTTTAAAATCAAAATTTAACGAATAAAAACCAACAGCATTCATAATTAATCCAACACCGAAAGAAATCGAAGAGTTTGAATTAGCATCACCATCACAACAACAAAAGCTGAAAGACAAAAAAGAAAAAAATGAAAAATTCAAATTGAAAAAAGAATATCGTCCTGATTTTCATAACAAAACCAAATGATCTATTTACCACAAACACAACTATCAAAAAATACATACTCAATTAAGAAACGACCACATCTTCCCCACCTATCTAATTACAGTCCATCGAAATAGAGTCGAAGTAATAACTAACTTTACGTCGAAACATCAAAGAAAACAAGTAACAGCATTAATAAAAATAAATTATTTCTCGAAACAATAATACGTTGAAAAATGAGGATAAAAATAAAAAATTATAAGATAAAGTTTGAACAACCAGCCACAACAACAATAAACAACAAAAAAACAAAAAAACTATGGAAGAATATCAAGTGATTCTCCCTTAACAATTATTTTACATAAATAGAATGATAGTTTTTATAAAGAATCTTTTATAAACTATCTTAATGTTACTATGATATATATACATATAGACACAGATACATTTATACATTGTTTAACGAAATTTTATTTGAACTGTTTTCGTGTTTAGTATTATCTTTCCTAGAACGGAATACCGACTTGTTTTAAATAATTATTCAGAAACTAATCTTTGGAATAGATATCTTGCTGGCAAACTTCAGCAAAGGCTAAAATATTATAAATTTCGTCGTATTCATACAAAGACACGCAAATCAATATTTTACCTATTTTTTCGGAGAGAAGAAGATACATGTTTTGCTCTTCGTGGCGCTAAATCAATAGTGTAACGTCATCGAGAGTACCTTCGAGGGGTATTCTTGACTTCATTCGATGTAATTCTATCAAAATTAAATTTCCAAGCAAAACATGGAGTTACATCACTCAATAGCGTTAAGTCCGTTGTATGTCATTTAGAATATGTTTAAATTATTTATTTGACGACTCTCTGAATAAATAGTTACCCAAGGTTTACAAACATGAGAAGGTATATTGTTTTTCTTCAAATAAATCAAGTTATTTGTCTACCTTTATTTTAGTAAATGATCGTGTCTACACGGTTAACCATCGATGGTGGATAAATCCAGAATATCGTACTGATATTTCTCAAAATGTACAAAAACTATTGGATATATATTTTTGTTTGATTTACTACATATATGATAGTGACTCGATATATGTATATATCTATGCAATGTGTTAGAACTGTTATTTTTTGTTAGTAATTGTTATTTAATCAGAAAATAAAATTGAAACAATATTTTAATATAATTCTTTCACATTTCAAAATAATAGATAATCATTCATTGAAGTTACTGACTTTAGTCTCTCCTCTAGATAAGGAGACAACGATCTAAAATGGAATAAATTTTGATTTATTTCATTTCTTGTTTCATATTTCGATCGGAATGTGAATTAAACGGACTATTTAGTTTTTATGAATAACTAATTTCTTTGTTCTACATTGAATTATAAAACTCAACGTAATGCTTAAACGGTATTTAAATAGAAATGGAAAGCAATCACACATATTGATTTTATTCTTCATGGACAATCTACATTGATTAGAAAATGATAAGAAATGATTGATCCGTAAGAGTGTATGGATGTGGTTGTGTTATTCATCTCTTACACCCACGCCCAATGAAAAATGTCCGATTATAATCAGATTATTGTGCAACAAAATCAAGATTAAAATTGATTATAATTTTGAGTTTTGCAAAAAATCGTTCATAATTTGGTGAAAAATCGGATTTTAATCGAATTATGAACGATTTTTTGCAAAACTTAAAACTATAATCAATTTTAATCTTGATTTTGTTGCACAATAATCTGATTATAATCGGACATTTTTCACTGGGCGTACATTCACACCCACTCTACTATATTGACAATTTCGAGTTCTATATCTAATCGTTAATAACGAGATCTGTTCATCTTGAAGGTGAGTAAGGGTGGTTCTTACGTTCTAAAAATCTTTTTATAAATTAATATTAGAAATGTTTTAGGTAAAATTTTCTCAAGAAATTAAAACTCATGAGCAAATAGTAAATAAATACACAAAAAAGTGACTATTTCCGTGATTTCTAACATATGTCGTCATTCGAAACAATCATTTAAACTCATAAACACAAGAAAAAAATAACTGATTCTTTATTTTAAAAAATAAAACTCGGAATCACTTGTATTTGAAGAATTAGTAAGATAGTTTTTGTTACAAGAGTACAATTAAATCTGCTCATGTATGTCACATTGAATAAAATAATCCTTAAAATGTATTATAGACGAATTATAACGATTTGGTTAGTACTATTAGACAGATTCACTTGATTATTAACGATAAGACACCTGAGCGGATGATCGACAACCAAGGTTCGCTCAGCCATTTCCGCCGCTCGATCTATATATTCACGGGCTTTATCAAAGTTTCCTTGTTGTCCATATGTAGATCCCTTATTTTGTAATGTTCGAATAATATCTGCATGATCATTAGGTAATGAAGTTTCTTGTAGTTTAAGAGCATGATCAAATTCTTCATGAGCCATTTCATATTTTCCTTGTTTTGAATGAATATTCGCCAAACCGACAAGAGCTAAAGCATTATTTGGATGCGCAATGGGTAACGATGCTTCGTAGATTTTTATTGCCTTTTGAACATATTTCGCTGCCAATTCATACTAAAAGTAAATAATTCAATTTTGTGTCTATAAATAACGATATAAGTTTTGTAAAAAGCAATGAAAGACTAATCTAATTATCATACCTGTCCACGTTCGTTGTAAATGGAAGCTAAATTGATCAATATTCCACCAACATCAACATGTTTTCGTGAAACAGTTTTATCCAAAAATTTGAGAGCTGTTTCAAAATGTTCAATTGCTTCGTCGTATTTGTTTTGTTCTACACAGGTAATACCCATACCATTCAATGATTTTGCTGCACTAGCCAATCGTTTCGGTTTTGCTCCTTCGTGTAACTGAAATGACTGTGTAAAATAATCTTCTGCTCGTTTAAAATCTCCTTTTAATCGATAAGCTCTTCCGAAATTATAATAAATACAAGCAACTTCTTCATCATTTGGATTCGAATCGAGAACAGTATTCAAATATTTTTTAGCTTTTTCATATTCACCCATTTCAACAAGTAAATGACCAAACATTAAAATAATATTTGCATCAGCCATTTTTTTCTTTTGATATTCAATAAATTCATCAGCTAAAGCAGCACCTTGATCAGTTGCTTGTACTATCACATGCCATAAATTTTCGCCGGCATCAAATGTACAAGATTCAATCCGAAATGAAGCACCTTAACATATAAAATGAATAGAACTTTAGTTCAAATTCGTCGCTTCTATTCCAGCACTCTAAAAAACAAAACTTACCAATATCAACAAGCATTTCAGCTTCTTCAGGAAAAGCTGAATATTCAGCAATATCTGCAATAACAATTTTTTTGACCAAATTCAAATCGACTTGATATTCGAAAAGAGCACAAACGACACCTTCACGATTACTTGGTTTCGTTGCAAATTCATAAGCAACAGAATGAAGATTACTTGTCGATAAATATCCATTCGTCGATATTAAATTACCAATATTCTCTTCGAAATTTTTAATTTCCGTAAGAGCAATTTTCAAACCGCGATACAATTTTAACACACCTTTTTGTTTTGCTTTCAAATGTTCGAATTTCTCTTCTAATTGTTTACATAAATCAATAATGTAAAAACGAAAATGATATAATACTTCAACATCTTCTGTACGAAGAGCTTTGTTTATAAATCTAAATATAATAAAAGAATAGAGTCGATGGTATCCCTTTACGTTTGATCTTTGAAGATGTGAAAAGTATTATAACTCACTTATAAACAAATGATTCTTTAGTATACCATGGAATAGCTTCTGTTGATTTGTATGTTAGTTCGAATTCGGAAATATTGGCCAACTCTTTGAGATTACCTCGATAAAAATCGCGACACTTACCGAGCATCATTTGTTTCGATGCTGTTGTTTTTGGCATTGCCATTAGAACAGTTTTGAACATTTGAAAAAATAGAAATGCACCAGCTTCTTTAGAAATATCTCGTGTCGCTTTTTCTTTGCTATTGTACAAACTAAAAGCTTTTGTTTGCTTTTCAAGATCATCGTATGATTGACGAATAATCTTTGCAAGAATTTCTTCATCAGGACATCTATTAATAATACGACCATCAGCAATTATATTATTATCGCTATTAGTTGCATTAAATGTTGAGGAATAGTAAAATAATGAATCAACTTGTGTCAAGAATTCTAATGCACCAATTAAAGTCGCCGATGGTTCATGATCGACAACCAAAAAGATCTTTTGTTTCGATATACTTGTAATAAAATCAATACAGTTCTGCTCGACATCGAAGATCTGCTTGAAAAAAACAAAGTTTACTATAGACTTTAATAATATGTTGATTGCACAAAAATCAATGGTATTTTACATATTTTTAGTTAATCTGTTCACATAATGAAAATTTACTATTGGAAAAATTTGAAGATATCTTTAAGTTAACCTGAGCCTCGTTTTCGGTAAGTGTATTAAGAATTGCGACAACTTGTTGAAGAGGACAAACTTTGGTCAAATATATGAGAATAACTTCAGTTGACGGAATTATATCTGCTTGTTGATCAGTTCGATTAGCTTGTTGCAAATGATGATCTTTACCATTTGCAGTTTCATGATCCATTACTTTGAATTTCGATTGTGCATCAGAACGTTTACTTTTTCTCCATTTCAGAAACGGCATTTCTGTAGTAAATAAATTGAAATGTAGTTTTTTTCTTCTTTACTTTACCTTAACGTTACATATACGCACGTTGCTTTATGACTGAGTAATCAATATTAAGAAAGCAAAACAAATGTAAATGGATATTTAGTTACCTATTTGAATATTTTCGTATTTTCTTATACGCCATTTCTTACTCATCGCAATACATGCTATTAGCGTACAACATTCAAATGTAGTGGGTGTTATGTTAATATAAGTTTTGTTGAATAGGCTCTTATTGCTTTTGTACTGATATAACATGATTATACTGTCATAATCAATTATTCTTGTTTCATTAGGTCGAACCAATCTACTTCTTTATATATTTCTAACATCAAAATAATAAACTACTCATAACTACAGTTTATCCAATCCGTGAATGTTCTCATACCTCCACGATGTTAAAAAAAACTATTTAATAATTCTTAAAAATATAATAATAATTTATATATTGACCATATATTTTAATACATAATTGTAAAATATGATTTCAAAATTCCTGACCATATTTGCATTACTCATATGGATATGCTTGAGTAATCACATGTAATAAAAATAATATACATCCATATTACATCAGGCACGTTAATGTGCAATACAACGAAGCACACTCGATAAAAAAATATGTCTATAAGTGCGTCAATAGAAAAACAACACCAAGTTGATTGCGCATCGACGAATAATGTTAAAGCTGTTCGACGGAGAACAATTAACAACGATAGTATTAATACAGATAATATCAACGACTTTATTACAGCAAATCCCCAAATAAATAATGAAAGCAACTATCAAGATAAGCACGTATGTATTTAAAATGTGACTAATAGACGTTTAAATAGACTTGTTTGTATAAGTTTTTGTTACACAGTAATATTAAAATAGCACTTTAGTAGAAAACGAAGATTAGTTGAATAGGATAAATCTATACCAAACAATTCAACTTTGTACCCATACACTGCTTACAGATATGTATAAATATTTAGAAAAGTTTATATCCATAACATATATATATTAAACTAGCAAGTTGAATCTAAATATTCAACATCTCATGATAGTAAATTTAAGAACAGAAGAGGAGACACCATACAGAATCGATGAAGTATTGACAAAGGTCATTTAATTTCACTTAGGTCAAACCTGAACATTTGACAACGTTTGAATTGAATGATCTGCCAACAACAGATAACATTGACTTCAAATTAACTCCAGTTCTAATTGATGTCGAACAATCATCATTTGAAGAGACTCTTGGAGTAGTTCCGAACACCGACGATCCCAACGTACTTTGCCTTACATTTCGTAGTTGGACATTGGGAATTATTTGTGCAGCTATTGGTGCCGTGATAAACACATATCTTTTCTTGGAAGGCAAAACTTTTGCTTTCTTTGGTGATCATTTCGTGTTATTAATTTATCCTGTCGGACGGTTTTTTGCTTGGATTTTACCCACACATACATGGTTTAAGAATCGTCGTTTTGCATTCTCACTTAATCCAGGTCCATTCACAATAAAAGAACACACAGTAATTTATAGCATGATTTATATGGGTGTTCAATCTGTACCCGCTGTTGATCTTTTCATATATAGAGCAAGCCTTCCTGAGAATGAAGCACCATCAGCACCGCATTACATCATTGGTCTGTTACTAGTTATTAGTACACAAATGATTGCCTTTGGTCTTGCTGGTATGTTTTGTCAATATTACACCCTGTAAGAGAAAACAAATTAATTCGCAAATATCTAAGTTTTTCAGATAGAACCTATTGAATAATAGTATGATTACCATAGATTTTTTCGTACATTTGTCTCTAGAATTGTCATAAAATTTCAATAGTATGACGCTTTACTCGACTTTTTCATATCGTTGGTAAAGAATTTGTTTCAAATAATACCGTAAAACTAGTGATGATTTTTGTTTATCATTATAATTCGCCATACTTTTAAGTCTTTCAAAGGATTTCTTCGTCGACTCTTAGTATGGCCTTCTGAGATGATTTGGCCTTGGAATTTTCCTTTTATGGTTGTGATTCGAACATTAAACGAAACTGAATCGCCACTAAGCACTCGATGGTTAGGTCTCACACGACGTCGTTTCTTAGTGTTTGTATTAACCATTTCATTTGTCTACCGATGGTTTCCAAGTTTTATTTTTCCAATGTTGACCACTTTCCCTTGGTGGTGTCTTATAAAGCCGAGCTCCACTCGCCTTTCGCAGGTTACAGGTCCAAATGGATTAGCAATGGGTCTTTTTCCTCTTGATTGGTTGACTATTGCTTCTGGGCAATCATTTCATCTTATACCACCATGGTGGGTTTATGTTAATATGATTATTGGCTTTGTTCTCATTGCATGGTTCATTATTCCTATCTTGTATTATTGCAATGTAGCCAATTGGGCTAGTTTACCAGTGACTGGACTTAATACTTACCCAGTAATTGATCATTCAGATCAAGTACAACGTACTATTACTGTTGCTATTGTCGATTATATTTTTTGGGGTTCATTTCTTGCTTTATTTCTTCATACAATTCTTTTTCATAGTCGAGATCTATGGAAATACGCACGTACATCACTTCATAATCGTCAAAATGATGTTCATTGTACACTCATTGGAAAATACAAAGAGGCACCTGGTTGGATTTTTGGGATTCTATTTACAGTTACCCTTTTAACCGCCTGTCTTATATGTCATTTCACTCATTTTCTACCATGGTACTACGTCATCGCTGCTACATGCATAGGTACAGTATTCATCGTGCCCATGGGATTATTGCAGGTGAGTCATATATTCAGCACACTTTGTTTGTAAAGAATATCCAATATAAATGAAGTTATCTACCTCGTTAGTATTGTAGCGAAAGTTTCTGCAATAGGAAGTGTGGAGGATATAGATACAATACAGCTAAAGCCACCCTCCCCCCCCTCTCCCATACGCACCCACACCTTGTTATGTATCATTATCGTCAGCTATGTTCTTTCTTAGGCATTATCAGGTATTCTTATTGATCCATCTTATATTGTTTATTTTATCTCTGGATTCATATTTCATAATCAACCAATGCAACTCGCTACTTTTTACATTTTACTTTATGGAATGCAATTCCAAGCATTAGGTATCCTTACAAATTTCAAATTAGCTCATCACATGAAGGTTTCTCCACAATCGATGTTTATTACACAGATAACTGCCACCATAATTGGAGCCACAATGAATTTCGTTATAATGCAATATGAAATCTCAAATGTCTGCAACGTTAATACCAATGTAACATGTGGAACTCAATGGCTTGGACACGCTACTACTTTTGCAACATCAGGTTTGTCACATGCTTTTAATTGAAACGATATATTGATCATATTATATCATATCAGAAAAATACATTTTAAGAACTTGAATTTCTCCGTAAATTTCAGCTCTCTTTACAAGTACGATTCTTGACTGATTCTTTGCCACAAAAATTAGTTGAAGATAGATAAACGAGAAAAAAATATTGCTAAGTTTTGAGATCGACAATAGAATGTATGGACTAAGTTTCTGTGCATTTTGTTCTTAAGAAAGTATTTCATTATTTTCCCCACGATTTTAAAGTCTTACTAATGAAAAATGATTGAAATATATAGAAACTTTGCTTTGCTACGATTTCATTAGCTTAAATTTGTTATATAGCAATCATTATGCTAATATTTTTTTCCTTGGATTTCTCAGATTTAAATAAGCTGTATGGCCTCGAATCAGTCTATCCATCTTTGATATGGGTGATGGTTGCTGTTGCTGTGTTACCTCTTTTTATTTGGATTGCTCATAAATTTTGGCCACAAATCAAATGGCTTCGTTTCATACACATTCCAATCATGTTTGGATATTTGCCTAATCTTCAAAGTGGTGCTTCTGGCTATCTTTCTCTACCAACGTGGTTTCTATTGGGATTCATCTTCTACAAAGTCATTCGTCGATGGTGGTTCGAACGTTATGCCTTCTTATTGGTTATGATCTTATCTATAGGCAGCTACTACGCTGACTTCTTCATCTACTTCATTTTCACTTATAGGAATGCTACCTTTCCAGCATGGTGGGGCAATCAAAAAAATGCATGTCCTCTCGCTAGCGCCTCAGCGAATGGCTCTTTTCCAACTACATCAGCTTAACAATGATACTAGTTCTCTCTTCGTTTATTTTTGCTTATCATATCCGTATTTGAACAGAATGTCATTGTAGTACTTTCTCTAGAGTTCACTTTTTTTTTGTCAAACAACACATATATTTGACGATGTCTAATAAAAGAATTGATTCAATAACTTTATAAAGAACATGTAGTATGTCATAGATTATTAACTATATTGATTTTGATTATGACTATGCCAGTCGTGAACGTCTTTATCCTACAGGGTAAACTGCAACCTATATCGCAGGAAAAAAATAGGTAAAAGAGAAATGAACTTTTTCACTTTATAAGATATTTAACTTAATAGATAAAGAAAATTCTTGATATTAATCTATGGAAAAGAAACAGCATAATTAAATTAATGATGCTTTGATCACTTTTTATAATGTATATCATTTTTATAGAAATAGACGACTGAAGAGGAATACGTTACAAACTCAGTTGAACTAGAAAAAAAGAGTCTATTCGATTAATAAGATTCAAGAATTCTAACAAATGTATTTTTTAGTAATATTCAAAAACAGCAAGCCGATATTCATTCATAGAAAAGAAAAAACAAAATCGCTTTATTATCAATTGAAATTCAAACAGGATTGTTCCATGAGATACCTCAATTTTTTTTACTTAAACAATAAATCAAATATCATCCTGATTTATTCCTTTGAGAAAGATTATTTAATCTGTAAGGGAAAAATCGATAAATAGATTTGACATAAACTTAGTTTGAATTATGAAGAACTTGAATATTGATCGAATTCAAACTTATCCAATCTCACACGTCTATCATAAAATTCATTTTATAAATTATCTGAGTAACCAATTGAATAAGAAATAATAATTTATTGTAAAGAAAATGATTGTGATGTATAAATATCAAAGTGTAATAATAACGTTGACAATAACATTTTTTTTCAATATAAAATATTATATTCATATGAATATAAAAAGATTTTCACGGCCGAAATTATCGGCGATTATAAACAACTACGATAAATGAATGATAACCAAAAAAAAAATAATCATTTGTTTTTCTAGTATCTATACTTGACAAAATCGTATAATTATTATTGAAATCCTCGAAATATATCTATAGACGTTCATTATGATATCTGTTATTACAAAATTATTATGTACAGGAAGAAAATTTCAGTTTAAATTGATATTTTTTTCATTAACCACTGTATAACAAATATGTTATATATTACTTTCATGTATCGTATAATGAAAAGAAATACGACATGTGTATATTTTACCTTTCTGTATATTACTCAAAGTCAATCTCATTATCGAAATACAAAAAAACACGTGTTATCACAAGGTTTTTTTAAATACATCATGTTTATAGGTAATATGTACGACTTGATTATATACAAATCAAAAAAAAAAACGTACGATACTAATTTTTATATTTTTTCTCTAGTATTTTGTAGAAATCACGTCAAAAATTATTGAAACTTTTATTTATTGGTATGTATACTATATTGTGTAAAAATTTGTTTTAGCGTTAATTCTACAGATATAAAGATAAGATTTAATATATCAAATAAATTAACTGTAGCGATACTCTAATGAGATATAACAATTTGGTCAATTTTCTAATAAATAAAAAAATTTATTGATGAATTATTCTAATAAAATTATTTTAGTTCAAAAAAATGCTACGAAGAAAATCTGTACATAAAAATACTGAAAATCCTGGTTCGATGGCTAATGTCTTTTCATTAAAAGATATGCAAAGTCAACATAGTGGATTGAACGGAGAATTTTTATTATATCAAGTTATTCTTAAACGTTTATTATCTGAAGGATTAACAGATTCTTCTATAGAAAATACACTTTGTGGTCATTTTGATCCTACCGAAGAAGCAGATCGACGTATTATGTTAGAATTTGATAAAAGTTACAAAGCAAATAAAGCTATATATTGGTATACACGTGAATCATGTGTCTATCGTTTGTTAAATAAAGCTTTACGAACACAAAGTATTGGAGATTTAATTGCTTTTACTAAATTTATTCGTGATTTATATAATCAATTAGCCGATGAACAAATTACATTTTTAGTAACAAGTCCATCAATGATTTTGAAAGTTTATCGTGGACAACTTATTAGTGTTGATGAAATTAATAGAATAAAATATGCTAAAGGTCAATTAATTTCAATGAATTCATTTCTATCAACAAGTACAAATAGAAAACAAGCTTTAGAATTTGCTATGAGTGGTACAACATCAGATACATTAACAACAATTTTATTGGAAATAAATCTTAATTTAGAACATCAAACTCGACCATATGCAGATGTTAAACGTTTAAGTGCATTTCCGAAAGAAGATGAAATTTTATTTATGTTTGGTTGTGTTTTTCGTATTGATGATATTTGGGAAGATAAAGAATTAAAAATATTTCGAGCAATATTAACATTATGTAGTGATGAAGATGGTGATATGAGAAATTTACAAGAACAATTAGAAAAAGAATTAGAAGGAAAAAATGTGTTAGTATGTCTTGGGAGTTATTTGATGCAAATGCAAAAATATGATGAAGCAGAAGCACATTATTATATGTTAATAGAAGAAAAATTAATTAAGAATGATTTTGATTTAGCTACTTGTTATCATGAACTTTCTAAAGTTAATAAAAAGAAAGGAGAATATGATGATGCTGTAAAACATCTTAATTTAGCTTTGAATTATTTATTAAAAAGCTATAATAATAATGATCATCCACTTATCGCACAATGTCATAATGATTTAGGTTTAATTTATTCTCATCAAGAAGAGTATTCACTGGCATTTAAACATTATGAACAAGCATTTAAAAGTAAAGGAAATAATCAGTCAAGAACGTATTCTGGTTTATCAAAATTACATATGAAAATGGAAAACTATATGATTGCATTAGAATATCAATATAAATGTCTTGCAAATCAAACAACAACAGCAGCACCATCATTTATTGCAGAGACATTTATTGAAATTGGAAAAATTTATACAACATTAAAACAATATGAAAAAGCAATTAATATGTTTGAAAAAGCTATTAATGTTCAAAAAAAAGTATTATCTTCAGATCATCCTGATTTAGGTTATACTTATATTGCAATGGCATCAATGTATTCAGATTTTAATGAAGAAATAAAAGCATTTGAATGTATGAAAAAAGCATATGATTTACAATTAAAATCTTTACCTAATACTCATCCTGATTTTGCTGAAACATTTAAAAATTTTGGTTATCTTTATAAAAAAAGATCAGATTTTGATCAAGCATTAAATTATTTTAATAAATTACTTGAAAATCAATTGAAAACTTTATCATGGAAACATCCTGATGTCGCTGATACTTATTCACTTATTGGAAATACTTATTTAGCAAGAAATGATTATGATAATGCTTTAATTTATCTTAATAAACTTCTTGATAGTCAACTTAAAAGATTAGAAGAAGGACATCCAGGAATTACAGAAACATATAATATTATAGCAAATACATATTTAAAAAAACAAGATATAGATGAAGCATTAATTTATTTTCTTAAATCACTTAAAAATGAATTAGAAAGAAAACTTCCTGATGATGCATCATTAATTGATACATATAAAAATATTTCAAAGATCTATTTGGAAAATAAAGATTATTCTCTCGCATTAATTTATTTCAATCGATTAATTGATAGTCAAGCACGAATAAAACGATCGGAAGATGAACCAATAGATGATACATATGAAATTGTTGGAAATATTTATTCACAAAATAACTTTTTCGATAGTTCATTACTTTATTTTGGTAATTCACTTGCTCTAGAATTACAAAATCAATTATCAAATAAAATAGAATTAACGGATTCGTTTAAAATGATAGAAAATGTATATTTTGAAAAAAGACATTTAGATTTAGTATTACGTTATTTTCAACAATCACTTAAATATGACTTAGAAAAACTTTCACCAGGAGATCCGCAATTGAGTCATTCATATAAAGTTATTGGAAATGTCCATCTAGAGAAAAGAAATATGGATGAAGCATTAATATCTTTTCAACAATTAATGAATAATGAATTAATAACAAAATCATTCGATGATCCATCATTAATTGAAATCTATACTATTATTGCAAATATTTATGTTGAAAAAGAAAATTATGATCAAGCATTAATTTATCTTACAAAATTATTAAATAATCAATTAACAACAAAATCAATAGATCATCCAACATTAGCCGAAATTTATAAAACTATTGCAAATATTTATTTTAAAAAATCTTATTTTACTGAAGCCATTATTTATTTCAATCGATTATTTGATTGTCAATTACAAAACGATTCAAACAATCAAAGAGCATTAAATGATACATTGTTAAGTATTGGAAAAGTTTTTTTAAACATTCATCGTTTTAATCAAACTTCATTGAATTTTGGTGATAGATCAAAAATAAAATTATTAATAATTACTTCATTACCAAAATCATTTCGAATAATTTCAGTTATTGAAAATAATCATAATGAACAACGTCATTTCAATCGAGTAATACAATATTTTCAACAACTCATAAGACAAAATCAAACATCGGAGAATATTTCATTAAATGATTCATATAAAATTATTGCAAATATTTATTTAGAGAAACAAAATTTTGATTATGCTTTGATAAGTTTTCGAAAATTACTACGTCATGAATTAAAATTAACACCATTAAATGATTCATTATTAATTGAAATCTATAAAGTTATTGCTGTAATTTATTTTACGAAAAAAGATTATAAAAGTTGCATAAATTATTTTCAAAAATTATTAAATAAAGAATTAGAAGAAAAATTTATTGAAGATCCATCATTATGTGATATCTATAAAATAATTGCAACTATGCATATGAAACAACATGAATTA